TTATAACCTCTATATACGCCTATATAGTAGTTTGCTCACGGTAGCTTTACTGCAAGGGACGGGGATGGTTGCCTCAGAGACGATGGGCTTGCGGCTCAGTCCTCTCAAAGAGCAAGTCTGAACCCAGAAATGCGACGAATCCTAACGATCGGGCTCCGGACCTCAAGTACCTTGCACGTGAAGAATTCATGGTATTGCGGGATAGCAAGGTCATGCATGATGTTTAGTATCAACCCCAGTGTCAGGATCTTTCTAGTCGATTCAGAGCTGTCAGTGAGGTGGCTTTGTTTGGTGTTGTAGACAAGGTGTGGTAGTGTGGCGAGTCTGCCATAGGTAGAGGGTTGGAGCACGGGACCTGGATTAAACTTTATACCATTTTATACCACCTTTGGATTTGAGTTTATACGCCCCTACATTTTTTTTTTTTCGGAAGTTCATTGAAGCACGGAAAGAATGCAAGTCTTGCAGCATTTTTCTGCCCACACCTCCTCACGCTTGCGGCCTTTTCATCTTAATCCAAAAATCCAGGCTTCAGCGAGCTCTGTACCCGAAGAAACCCTGCCCAAACAAGTTCATGTTCGTTTGACCTGAGACGCTGAGGCCCCAGAGTCTCAACTCCAGGAATCTAAGTCCAACACCGCCAAAATCTCCAACCTCGAACCCTAATCTCCTTTGATGTTTGCCTTGAAAAGCCCTACAAAGGCTTGCGCAGCTAATGGGCGAAGAGGAAGCAGAGGCTTCGGAAGGGTTGAATGTTGAGGACGTTGGTGTGGAGTTTGGGAGTTTGGATTTTCGGGCATTGCATGCGGTGAGGATTCCTCTCAAATGTGACAAGTATGGGTCGGGGTGTGCAATGCATGCCAGTTCATGCATACTATACATATACAGATCCTTCCATCTCTGAACATGCAAGGGTGCATACGGGCTCCCGTAAAGGATCGTTTCAAGCTTACGATCTGAGTTGTTACGCACACTTGCAAACTTTGATTTTGTGAATGTGTGCTCAAGCAAAAATTCATTCTGGCCGGTTTGGCGACTCACCAACTTCAGCGAGCATTGTCTGAGCATCTTGTGAGGAATCTTGACTGAAGGCTTCAGGGATTTTGGGTTTTGAGTTGCTAAGAATGTTGGCGTTGTTGAGATTCTCAGGGCTCGCGCGCGGTTACGGCTTCTGGAGCCATGACGACTAATACCATGAAGAATACCAGACGCCATAGGACTGCTGTGCTCCGAATTTAGGGCGTAGGGCCTAGCCGGTGTAAATTTTGTGACACTTGGCTTGCCTAAGAGGAGCTCTGGGGCGTTTTTCTACGAAGCAAACCTACGGGGGTAACGTGGGTCAAGCCAGCACGTGCATGCGCTTCAGTTTGCTTGCTGGCCCAGCTTCAGGATATTTGTCAACAAGTAATACCTACTTTGATTCGTAGAGTCTTAGAAATAGCACCTACTCTGGGCATGAACACTAGATCCTAAACCCTTGGGGCTATTTGGATCTCCCGGGTTTTCTTTACTCCCATATAGTAGTTTCCATTTTCTCTTCCATTATCCCGATATAACCCCAATATACTATAGTAGTTTCCGTTTTCTTTTCCATTATCCCAATATAACCCCAATATACTATAGTACTTTCTCCATTATCCCAATATAACCCCACTATACTACAGTAGTTTCCATTTAATTTTCCATTATCCCAATAACCCTAAACCCTACACCCTAAACCCCAACCCCCCAGAGTTCATCGGCCGTTTTTCATCAGGCTGAGAAGCTTTTGGCCAGCTTGGCACCGGAAGCGGCGCGCATCCGCTACCGGGACACTGGGGATTGCAGGGGTTGAGATAGAAGTTATACGCACGCCCACATATATGTATATACGTATAATAGCTATATATATATATACACACACTGGAGAGAGGGTATATAAGGGCTTAAGAAGGTTTCAGTTTGGGCATGGGGGTGTGGGGTGTGGCGACTTTAGCCCCAAGGTTGGGTTTTGATCTGCAAAGGTTGAGCTTCAGGGGCCAGATCAGGTTGGACATGTGGGTCACTGCAGGCTTAGGCTCACGGGTTCTCAGTAGGGAATACGTAAGGGAATGTTCTCCCTATCTGATTCCTATTTAGTATATTCATGTTATATATATATATTCCCTACATTATACGTGTATATATATATATTTACACATATTCCCTTATTCCATTTTATAAACTAGTAAGTGGGTTGGAGTACAGGGTTCAAGGCCTTTACTGACCATGCCAGGCATCTGCATGGGCTCCCAGGCCTCTGGAATCTGATAGAGCTTGTCGGAATGGCAGTGCTAGGGTTTAGGGTTTAGTGACTAGCCAGCAATCCAGAGTCTTGGCACCCAGAACTAGACCTAAGCCACTCCAAGTCTAGCTTGCTGAGTCAGAGCCGGATGTATATCCTCAACAAGAATTGTCTTCTTATCGCTTTATGCTCCTAGCATCCCAACACATGAAACGCTGCACCCTCAACTCGCAACCCGTTGTTTGGATGTTCTTGCCAGGAGTTTCTGGAAGGAATCTCGGGAGCCTTTTGAAAGCCGCGCCCCTCGAGGCTGCTGGAAACCCATTATGGGGGGCCTGACGAAATAGATTGGGATTCTTGGGCATGCTGTTTTACTGTGTGGACATGGGAAGGAGACCGCGGTGGCATTTCTTCAGATGGTCAGAGCAATTAAAAGACAAACTGTCGCCTCTCCGCAAGGTGACTTTCTGACATTGTTATCGAGGTTTTGAAGGGGGATGTCCCAGCCATTAGCACGCTGCAGGTCTCCCTTGCCCACTTATCTTGCTTATCTTCAAGAAAGTTTAGATGAAGCCATGCGACCCTTTTAAAATTCTTATAGACGCATCCCCATCACGCCGTCAGGTGGCTCTCCTGCCAACTTGCGGAGGTCTGCAGCCTTGCAAAGCATTGGCGCGACACCGTACGTTGAGTTGTTTGATAGATACTTAGACCCGGCAAGGTGGTTTCTTTTCCTTGGATCTTCAGTGTTACAATCCAAGAAATTGGGTATCCAAAGGAAGGAACTGCCTTGTAGTGTCTAGGTAACGGTTTAAAATGAGGGGTCTGAATGAATAATGAGGATCATACGTGGATTTTCTGAGAGCCTAACACTCTCAGAAGCGCATATGCTATCCTTGCAGTTTTGTGCAAGATGTAGGTTACAGTGTGTTCCTCGTATGAGAGATCCACTATCAAACATATACATTACCTCAGCTCATCAACAGCACTTAGGATCCCCAAAAGAATCATCTCTGAGGGCAAACCAAGTAAGCTGGAGAAGACCCTAAGTCAATGTAAACCTCAAGTGGGCAAGAGATTCTTGCTTTCACCTTGGAGAAGCTTTCTCCTCCACCATCCGCCAGCCTGGGATTTGCATTAGCTGCCATCAGGGACGGCGGCTCTGAGAATTTTGCAAGCTGTCATGACTGACGTAGGCAGACGTGGAACCCAACTCAGAACACTGACATCCCAATTTCAGCCATGAAGATAGGATTTTCAAACAGATGGACCCCTTATGCACTGGACCCGAGGCGTGTGTGCCTTTGTTGCTTGCGTGGCGCGTGGCTTGGGAAATGAAAAGAATTCTGCGCCCCAATCCCTGTGCCATTCATAGTCGTAAGTGCTGAAGCTTGCCACACTAGCTGCAGGCATGTGCAGGGCGTATGTAAGGCAGGAAATACCTTCTTTGCCAGCATAGCCCTTGTGCCCTCAAAAGGGTCTTACACCTCACAAGTTGATGTTTCTTACTTTTCAGGACATTACGAGAGTCTGATTACAACAGGGTAGTTTAGGCACTTACTCGTCGTTCAGACTCCTTCAACAACTTTTTCCCTTGAGGCCAGGTTCCCCAGAAGGGGGCCCCGGCCTTTTTGGGGTGTTTCTCGACATGGGGTTGCCAGATGCATCCTCCCAACAAAAAAGAAGGTACAAAAGGACCTCCCATTTCGAAAAGCTCCCTTTGTCCCTGCCGCATGCACGCCGGAGGTGGCATGCCAGTGGCTTGAGGAGTCCAGACACTGCACACGAATAGTCAACAAGACTTTGTGGTTCAGGGTGTGGGGTGGGGGCCTTGGCGCGTAGGGAATACCAACACATTGCAGGGTTCACACCTTACTCTGCTCTAAGATTGCTCTGTCTCGGCATGAATTGAAAGTCCTGGTGATAATGTTCTCAGGAACTCCAGTTCCGTGGTAACAGCTATAGATTGAAGCGGTGCCATCTCATTTTTAACCTTACCTAAAAGCACGCAAAGGCACAAAGCCCGTGCAATCTCACTGCTTTTCATGACCCCTTGTAGCAGCAACTCCTGACATCTCAAAAGCAGAGTTCGAAAGAAAGTGTCTTGCGAAGAGCTGGCCTCCCGTGGGCTGCTTTCTGGCCGGGCGAAAGCAAAAGGAGTTGGGAGGTGTTTCGACGTGAGGGGTATGTACAAGCCTATTGCCAGCCTACTCGGGCAACGTAGACTCGCTCCAAATCTGTCGGACAATGCCTTGTATTCAACTGTATCATTGGGGAAGGGTTTTGTTCGTGGGTAGCTTGACACCAGGATTGAAAGCGTGAGCGCGGAGGCTTTTGGTTCTGGTGCCTATTCGGTGGCTGGCAGCTTAGAACTCTGACAGGATAGGCCTGAGATGGCACCCCAAACTGACGGACTTCAACACTTTAACTGACGGCCCGTTTTGGACCCAGGCTACATTATTCGTGCCAAAATACATGGTTCGACCTGTAATGAAGACGTTCGGGTTTGGGCACTGAAGCTCGAGGTCCAAAACCTTCAGCTTCTCATACCAAAATAAAAGCCCGGGTACCCTAGAATCCTGAAAATCGCTGAACCTGGTTAAAAACAGAGGCCGCAGCCGAAATGGCAGAGTCGTGAAGTGAGATCAACTCTCATGTACTGTGGCCCCTTAAAACGGAGCCCAAACCCTAAACCGAGCGGTTCCAGAGTTACACAGCTCCAACTTTCTGCCTACAGGGCGCTTCCACGCCTGGAGAAGGACATGCAGGACACAACAGCTCCGGCAAGGGCTGGTCTGGTTTCAGGTTGGGCGTCAAGTTTACGGCTAGAGGCTAGGGGCTACAAGGTTTGTGGATTGGGTTTAGCAACTTAGGGCTTAGGGATTTAGAATTTGGAGGGGTGGAAGGTGCAGGTTTTATTACGTCCCCCTCCCCAACAAAAATGGAACTCCAAACATGTTGTTTAAAAGAAGAATCAGTCCACAGATGCTTCTCAGGCAAGTTGACTTGGGGGACTCTATCGGGTTTAGAATTCCTGTGGCTTTCTTGGAGCGGTTTTGGGGTTTGATGTGCCGGTTCTCAGGGCCATGGGGATCCGTTGTGCGACTCGATAGGACTTATGGGGAATTGATGCTAGGCTTGCAGGTTGTAATGGCGGGCTTGCTATGGAGTTCAGAGGAGGGGGGTTGAGCGAGTGAATCTTAAGGGCTTGCGGGCTAAAGGCTCTTTGGGTAGGGCCTGGTTTTGTTGAAATTCGTAGGCCGTTCGGGGTTACCAAGTGCTGACTCCAACGCCATGACGAGGATATTGTAGCAGGGAGACTCTGGGGTTGCCACTTGTAAGTTTGCGCATAAGCATTTACGCTCAGGGAGTCTGGCAGACGCATAGGGTACCTTGTCCTCGCGTTGCATGCGCCGAGACTGTTCTCAAGCCTTTTACTCCCTGGGCTGGACAAGAAATCGTAAGGATTCCTAGCCTTGTAGTAATAATAATAGTAATAGTAATAGTAATAGTAGTAGTAATAATAATGGTAATAACAATTGTAATAATGATAGTAATGGGGTCAGGAGCGCCAGTGCAGAGCGGCAGAGCGCAACGCCACGGACTTCATGCGTTTCGTGGCCATGCCAGGCGTGGTTTGAGCGCTTGTGAGCTGAGATTCATGCGTGTATCGCCTGGGAGATGCAGCTTGTCTTGCGCATAAGGTTTCTCAAGTTTGCGGCGAAGGCTTTTTCTAGAAGAGGGTGTCTCAATAATCCAGTTAGATGGAAATTAGGGCCCGATCAGAGATGTGCTGCTCCATTTACATGCGCCTCCAAGTCATGCAGTGGAACCATGAAGCGAGGCCCCAGGCTTCTGTCATGCATCCTGATTTGCAGTTCTTGCACCCCTCAGCTTGCCATGAAAACTCCAAGGACTTCTCTGTAATCCTGCAGTTCAATGCCTACAGGCCTTGGGAACCCCTTAGCACAAGCAGTGATGCACACCATTGCGTCCAGGTGCAACAGCTCCTGCAGAAGCCTGAGCACCGGCAGGAAATGCAGTCTTGATGATTCATGGGGGACTTTGGCAGAGTATCCTGTGGCTTTGAGAAAGCAGGCTGTACTAAATGCTGCAGCGGCTCAGTACATGAACCCTGGAAGAGGTTCTAAAGATCGATTCTGCAAGTTCCTGGCATTTGCGGGTGTTATCGAGACCAGGAACACCTGAACCCTAAGTCCCCGAGATTCATTAGTCTGCTCTGGCCACGATGTTGAAGACCTGGCGGCAAAGACGCTGCCAGGCCGGTGCAGCCAGTAGTTCGCAGGTGATGATAACTCCTGACACCGTTCATGTACGCCTACACCCAGAAATCTCACCAGAAATTACCTTCCGGAGCTCTTAAAAGCTTTACATTCAGACCCCCATGAGCATCCGGAGCCTCCACCTCCCCAGCTACATCCATACTGGAAACGAAATACTTGGGGATTGCTCAGGAAAAACCGTTGTGGGAGACTACTAGAGACGTTTGCTGTTTGCAAAGGAGTTTAGGAGCCTTCCTGCATGTCTATTGAGGCGTTTCAGTATCTTTTTTTTTATAACTTTGTTGTTTGCAACTTTGTTGAGGGTGGGCGACTCACAATCTGCATCAATGTGACACATGCAAATTAGGACGCGCTCGGCTGTGATTCCACTGTTCTACATTCTACCTGTCATTTGTCCTGAAGAAGCCTTGCGTGAATGGCGGCTCTGTTGAACGTGTGTCCAAATCTTTTCCACAGAGAAGGCAACAGAGACTTGGGTGCAAGCTATTTTGAAATCTGAAGGATGCCACGGATACAACAGTTGTCATCACTTTCTGAGGAGTCTCACCAGTTTTTTCCAGAATTGCTTGGGGCCTTGCAAGCAGTACATAAGACATGTTCGTGCAGAGATTTGAAGCTAACTTGCTTGGAAAGCTCTCATTTGCACGAGTGGCCGCAGATGTTGGGATGCTTGTTCGATGTTACTGCTAGTTGCTGAATCAGCCGCAAGAGAACGATGCGGCGACAACGAATTCATCATGAGCGAGAAATAACGAGCTCTGCAAGACGAATTCATGTCCATGCGTGATCAAAGGCCTCACTTTTCCCGGCTTGTGCAACGTCACTTGGGTGCAGGCATGACTAAGAGCAAATTATGATTAGTTGTTGAGAGACTTTTGAAAACAACTGATAACTTACTATCTTATAACAACGCGCTATGCGTACCCTATATAGGCAACCAGCGATCAATTTCCTATCTCAACAAAGTCATCTCGACTGGTTGGGGCTCCCTAAATCACCTGCCCTTCAATGGCCCGCAACGTGTGCCGCAACCAGCGCCCCTTACCTGGCAGTTTATTGAATCTACCTTGTTGAATCCTGATAATGGGAGCTCGACTCCATACGTAAGCTCTCTGCGATCTCAATCTTCCTGTGCGTCCCTGAGGGCTCTCCACTAGCAAGCACCCACCTTCGCAGCGGGTGGGTGCTAGACCTGGCATAGCTGGTGGTCGGACCTAACTTCTGCAGAAGATGTTGTACCTGTCATGCCCGGTACAGGAAGAAGCGTGGAAAGACACAGAACGATGGCCTTCAAGCAGTTTGCTTTCACTCATTTGCCATGGCTGCCTCAAAGTACTATTGGACTGCCGATCCATATCACGAAGCCCCGAAGGCAGATAGGAATGTACGTTGGCGAGCTAGGGGTCTTCGCAGTTCGCCTTTGAAGCTTGGAGTGGAGGCCGCCAGTATTTGGCTCAAATTTCGATAGCGTAGCACAGCAGTGGCAGTGACACCCCCATCTGCTCCATGTACATTTGACTCTGATACCGCACCTCCGCTGCAGTAGAGAATATGCAAAGTGACACTACAGGGCCGTTTGTCGGTCCAAGGTTTTACACGCCGTTGCGGCAAGAAAGTCACGCCAACGGTTGCTACAGCTCGATGATTGCTTCTAAAGGGGCTGCACGTCAAAGGTTAAGACCATGCCCGGAACACTGAGCGTTCTGAAGCCTTGTTGCTTTCGGCTTTGTCCAACACATTCTGTTGTTGTTATCATATGGCTCTGAGGATCCAGTAGAGTCAGCTATTCTTGTTTCGTTCTGTCCTGTGCTGTAGCGTTGCCTTCCTTACTGATTACTCTGTGTTCTGGGCAAGCCTCCTCTCATTAACCTTTCCTGTAAGGTGGGGCTGAGTTTAACAGCCCCACACCATGTCAGAAGAATGGTGGCCGCCACAACTTGGGGTCCTAGCTGCGCACGAACAACTATTAACAAAAAAACAGGCTGCTGCATGGCCAGAAGAGGAACGCTGTAGCATCCAAAGAGACGTAGCACACGGGTGTTACAATCAAGGAAGTGGGCTGTTAAGCGAGGGGCCTCCTGAATGTATGGGGCTACCGGCCTGCAAGATTGTATCATGAATGAAGTGTCATCCTTCCATGTTGCCCTAAACCTGCATGAAAGAGAAGCCCACACAACCAGTAGACTTGACTAGCAGTAAGCCCTCTTGGCCTCGGCTTCGGCTGAACGCGGCTTTGGAAACTAGACCCGGTAAGGGATTCCTATAATCTGACTACCCCAAATCTATTCGCCCCTCCCACTTTTCCTTGAACCCTTATTTAATATGAATATACCACCAACTCTAACCCTTGCAGCATCCGCTATGAAGAGTACCTCCCAATGCCTGATCATGCCAGGCAACATGTCTGGTTACAACTCGTCGCCGTACGTGGGCGACAGCCAAATCGGAGGTGCCTCCAGGATAAGGAAATCTGACACATGAAGAGCCGACAAGGCATTTTCTCGCTTCTTCTAGTGTTCTTTTATGAAGCTCCCTTAAATCAGTCCTTAGGGTAAGCCAGATGGAAACTCCCATATGTAAAGCAGAAGCCGCTCATTGTTGGTTGCCCTCTTCTGGATAACTTGTGTGCCGCGCTTGGGAACTCACGCTCTTTGAGGATCAGGCGAAAAGCTGTGAGCGGACACATGGATAGAAGACCCAAGCACCTGGGGGGTCGGAAGTCAAGTCTGCCAATCTGGTGGTCGTAAGCATGGTTCTCAAAAGTGTTTCCCTGCAAAGGTCCCACTTAGTTTGATCTCGAGAGATCCCAGAAAATCACCATGCATTGAAGTTTCAAAATCTCCGAATCTTGAAGCAACCTCTGTCTTTGTGGCTCCACGCACTCGAGCCTTAGACCCTCTGGCTGAAAGCCAAACTTCAAGTCTGCAGCATTCTGCAACCCTTAAGTCCGAAACCTTGGGAAGGTCTGCGCCTGAGACCCGCAGCTTGAGTGTTGAATGTGGAAGCCTGGAGAATTCCTACATACTTCCTCTACTATCTTCATGGAACTATACGAGAGAGTATACCCCCAAACCCAATTCCAATAGAACAGGCTCCTGCATGCGCCTGCATGTTTCGAGCTTGGACCCTCAAAGCCCAAACCCTGAACGAAGGGACGGTTCACTCGTGTAAGCGCTGAGTGAGCAAGGATTGAAACTCAAGATTTTCCAAGTTGTAGGTGCTCTTAGGAGGTCCCGATGACTTGAGAATCCTCATGCTTGTGGAGCATCTCAGAGGCCCCCATTGCCCTTGCCACTGCCCCCCAATATTGAGAAAGCATAGTGGAACGTACTATGCTGGGATTCAACCATATATTTTGGTTCGATCCGCAAGTCAGCGGCTAATCCCTCGGAACCACCCGCTAGCTGACCTTGCTCAAGGCAGATTGGAGTGGAGAAAGCTTCCGGAGAAACTGCCGTGGCAAAAGCAAGTTATCCTTTAGCCTCCCAGCACATACGCGGCAAATCCAGAACATGCCCAAGACAGCCAAGGACTCCAACTTATGACCCCCAAACCCTTGGCCATCAGATCCCTATAAAGCTTGGAAATACCGAGTCTTCCAAGAAGGTGAATTCCAAGCCCTGCAGCCCAACATCCCAAGATACCAGCCAGGCGTCGTGTACCATCCCGGAGGAGCCCAAAGCCTCCCCACACGCCCTTTGGGAGGCGACGAGCTTTTACCCAAACCTTCAGAAGGCCCCCAAATATTGGCCTGTAACACTCTTCAGGGGCCATTGCTATAGAGTGTGTTTTCCGTTGTGTAGGTTCGGCATTCGGTGAAGAGGGCAGATATTCTTGTTGGAGCTTTGGGGCTTCAGCTGCTATAGGTGTATATCTCAAATTGAGGGGTCGGCGGTCCCTGAAGCCCAAACATAAGGAATAAGGAAACACAAGCACTCCCCCTCCCCAACAATAAATATTTCACGGCCAGAAATATTCTCTAATATTGGGATAAACAATCTTAATTTCATTCATAAAAGGCAATCAGCTTCTAGTCCCTTTGATTTCACCCCTCTTGTACTGAGCCGCATTAAACAACGATGAGGATCTGGGAATTCTGGAAAGCCCTAATCAGAATCAATTCTGCCTTGGATCTTTCCATAAGACTTCGCCAGAATCAGCATTAAAAACAAACAACAGTAAGCACCTAGGAATTGAAGGTTCCCCAATTGTAATTAGGATTCTCCTAGGCTCTTTCACATCAGCCCTTTTGCAACAACCTAGGAACTCAAGGAGAAATTCTCCAGTAATGTGGACCGCGCTAATTTTTCTGGACCCAACAAAACTCCTCGGCCCCTATCAGAAGTCTGCGTTTGTTCAACAAGGCTGTCTTCCATGAGATACAATGTCATTATGAATTGTTAGGGAGATTGGTTTAGCGGGGGGAAGGGATTAGTCATCGCCATCGGGGGATGTTGGTGGCAATTCATGGCCCCTAAGGGGGTTGGTCAGTAAGTCAGGGCTCGCGCAATATGTTCCAACTTGCAGCGGTTTCCCTACGACTAAAGGATTCAGACAGCATTCATAGCAGCAGAGAATCAAGAGGAGCAGTAGCTATTGAACTCTCAACAAGAAATGCCCGCATACCTTAGAAGAGATTACGTAGTTTTCGTAGGGGTTCATAGGGTGCTGAATGGGTGGACATGCAGGGTTTTGGCCCGTTGGGAGTCAACCTTCTAGTTGCCAGAAGAGTCGAAATTCCTCGGCATCATCCACGAAAGCTATTCAAGATTATTCTTGTTGACGATCCCAGACTGGACTTAAGAGAACTTTATGCCGCAAGTCTTGGGATAGCAGAAGCCCTGAACCTGTGAGACAGCACTTGCAAACGCCCAAATTGAATTCGAGCAGGCCTCCAGAGACGACCGTACCCTGAAACCTGAATCATCTACATCCCCATATCCCTGCCGCATATGATCTCTACGTGTCCCACGGATCTGTATTTCAATCATTCCGGCCTACATCCCAGTCCTCAACATCCTAAACTCCTGCCCTCAAAGCACAGGCTATGGCACCATGCAAGGCTTCGGTTATCCGGAGGAGGGTGTCAGGACGGGCTGCGCAGCGTTCTCTGAATCACGAGTTCTTCTTGGTAGCCCCGAAATGAGGACTCTTGGATTCTGGATTCCTATTTTTCAGAAACTACCATTTGACCGGGGGCTTCTGCCAGCCTTCTGCTGTGCGGAGTGCGTTTGAGGGTCGAATGCTTTAAAGTTTAAGCTTGTGTAGACAGATGGTTTAGCCTTCCGAGATTGTAGCCCGCGAACTTGATTCCTTGGTTACCAGTCAAGGAATCAAAGGTCTCAGCCGCCTAGCATTGTCCCTCAACAAGACCCGCACGTAAAGCGACCCGAACATGGCCATTTTTCAGAACATGGGTCCTTTACATACCCCCACAAGATCCAGGATCTTCACACAGATGTCAGAAGAGACCCCCTAGTTTCGAAGAGACTCCGCGCATCCAAACCCTCAAAATATAGTCATCACTCTGATCCTGTACAGCTACCGCATAAGAATCATTCCTCGGGAGAAATCTAAACAGAAATTACACACCCACCCAACGGTCAACAGGCCGCCCAGCACTGACAAGTCACTCTTCCGCCGGGGGATGGAAGAGGTGAAGCAGGAGGAGGCCATGCGACGTACAGGTGGTACTTTCCCAAAATTAGGGTTTAGGGTTTAGGGTTTTGGGGTCCCCATAATGAGGCTTATAGTATTTTGGGGTCTATACTGAGGTCCCTTTATTTTGGGAAACTACCAGGTATGTTCTTTGTCCCAAGCCGGTTCTTTTATGGGGTTCCCCCATGTAGTAGATTGCTCAAGCCGAAAGCCTGCAAAATCCTGCAAATTAGGTATCAATAGTTACCTTAAATGAGGGGTTCACAGGGGTCCAGGGGTGGTGGTCTGGGCAGTTTATGTTGAAGATTCTCATAATCTTGATGTCAGCTGAAAGAAGTGTGGGTAGACCGGTTGCTATCAAGGAGTCTGCGTGGCTGTGTTGCATTCTAGACGGGGCCTGGTCATATTCTGGGGGTTCATCTCTGAGAATTCTAGGATTGTTGTGAGGGTTTACCTGTCCAAAGCAGCAGGGTTAACTTCTCCTCCTAAATTCGATTGAGTCTGTGGGATTCAGGCAATGTAGTCTCGGCTCCGAGCCGGCAGTTATGAAGGGATGAGTTCAGTTTCAACATGGATTGCTACAATTGGCTGGCCCCAAGATGTAAGGGCTTAATATCTTGCGAAACCTACAGGGGTTCTACCTCGTTTCCTTATAAGGAAGTGGATATTGCAATTAGATGCCCCTGAGGCTCCCATTTGCCCATTTTGCGAGCTCTATTGCAGGCCTTGTAGGCTTGCTCGTCGAGAAATCCGAACATGGGGTTCGGGGGTTCATGTTGGCAAAATTTTACGGTGGACTGCACAGCCCAGAATGGTTGTTGAGTGCATGGGTATTGTATGGACTTGAACTTGCGTGTTGGCTTCATACCGTCTATTCGGGGATGGTTCCTCGTAGTCCCCGGATCAGGGTGCTAATGTAGAAGGCTGAAAACCTGCCAATGCTCTTCCCCAACAATCCGTGCATAGTTATAGTCGCAATCACCTCAAAGCCTTTTTGTAGTCATTAAGGAAAGGATGCGACGAACAGGATCCTCAATCTGTAGACATCCCCAGCTGTTCCATCTTTCTGCAGGTAAACCAGGTGAACATGCTGGCTGGGAACTCAGGGTATTGCTTTTACAGGCTGCGTGAATTGCAAAATTCTTTGTCCGCCTGCAGAAACTTCTGGCACCGGCAGAAGCTTAGACGTACTCGCAGTGATGACATGGTGACATGCAGAGAAAAGGCTACAAATGACAGGGCGCAACGCGCAAAGCAGCAACCGTTCCCAACCAAACCATTCCATGAACAAGTGCGTCCAAGGAGTTGGTTTTCCTACCCTGGTTCCTATTAGCCACGAGCTCAGCGCAGATGTCCGGGGAAGAGTGGTGCTGAGGTTTTTGAGGAGACAGATCTAAGCTGATTCCGCTTCCGGCTTTCCAGTCACTTGCAACCTCTTGTGACCTTTGAAGCGTCCTTTGAAAGAGTTTCTGGCAGTTTCTTTTACAATTTTGCCTGGTCTTGAAGCAAAGACATTTGAGTCATGAATATTCATGAGAGCCAACCATTTCAAGGCACTGTTCTTGTCTTAAGCTTCTTGTTCTCGCTGTGGTTGTCTTGTTGTGGGGATCCTATGCGTGTAATCATGTATTCATACAGGTGGACTCGGGTATAGCGGCGGCATGGCAAGAATTTTGGTCATTTCTGGCAGAATCCTAAGACAAGCCAGGTTGGTCAGTCCTAAGCCTATACACACTACAACACCCTCCGTATTTGGCAGGTGTTGGTGCTCGTCTGCTACTTGATCGCAGGCGCTGCTCAGAGCCCTGCCGAGAAAGACAGGGATGCGACAAGAGGTAGTTCTCATTGTTGTGGGTTCTGTCTCTGATTTCAGAGAACACTCTATTGCGCGGCATATGGGCAAGTCTACTTTCGACAAGTGCCCTGATGGATCCATCAAGGGTTTCAAGGGTTTCGCAGTTGATCAATGAAGTACGGTGCAGATCTTGCATAGCAGAGGCACCTACCGCAATCCTGTTACCACTTCTTCAGACGATTGTTTCATATTATTTCTATTGAAAAGTTCAGCTTCCCTTTGCTGTATCATACGGCTGTGCGATTGCGAACCCTCAAGTCAAAGGAGCAAGGTTGATCAGGTGCTTTTCTGAACTCTCCTAGATTGGAGATTTCGTGCCGTAGTCGAGCCATGATGTTCTGGGTGCTGGTCGTCATGTTGCTAGCCGAGAGCCTGGCGTCACCCAGCGAGTACTGGGCCCTGGCCACCCCAGCTGTGCGCACCGCTCGAGCACAGCAGGGCCTGGAAGCAGGCAAGGCCTTGGGCGGACGCACGCTCCGCAGCGACAATGCTACAGAGAGCTCCGTTTGGTGCGGCAGAGAGAAGTACAACGGCGCGGCTGGAAACATGTGGTATGCGAACCCCTTCACAACGGCCTGCAGCAAAGCCTCCATGGACATGGCCTATGCTGATGGAGACAAGGTGCGCTTTGCCAAGAAGGGCGACTTCATCAAGATGCAGTGCGACAATTGGGAATGCCCCATTCCCCCTGTTGTGGACTGCTACTTTGACCGAAACGCTTGCAAAGCCGACGAATGGTGCATGGTCATTACGCACGAGAAGTGGGGAGCCTGGGCCATGGGAAAGAATGGCCACACTCCCAACTTCGAGCTCTGCGGCCCGACCTACTACTCGGAGATTGAAAAGATTACCTCTCAGAGCGACGTGAGCAATGCCACAGCGGAGGCCTTGAAGTTGACCCGGGACCGGATCTGTGGAAGCAGGACCGTGGGCGTGGCAAACGGGATCCAGCTTGAGGGCTACTCGGAGGAGAAGCTCTGGAAACCTTCGCATGGCCGCTGCGTGAAGTACCGCCAGGAGGGCCAGAGCTGCATCCCAACCTTGGCCACCCAGGGCCGCTTTGCCAATGCCTTCGTGCGTAGGCAGCAAACAGAGAGCACAAAGTACCCTAATGGGGGCACCATGGAGCGCCCCTTGGCGTGTGCTCCTGGCCTTGTTTGCACTGGTGCCAACTTCGATGTGTTGCCCTCTACATGTGTGAAGGAACGTCCGAAAGACCTGTGCTATGCCGGCCCATGGTGGGACAGCTCTCGCTGCCCTCGCACCTCCTTGCGCCAGCCTGGCATGGACAGGCAGTGGGCGCTGGAGTCCTTGCAGACAGCATTCCTCCTGTTCCCCGGTGAGGTAGCGTCCGCCATGCATTGTAAGTACTGGACAGGTCCCCTGGCCCCCTTCACGGCCGAGGTTAGGAAGGTAACCTACAACATCTTCCAGGCTCTTTGGCCCACGCACCTTGTCGGGGAAATCCCTACGTTGCCGGAGCTCTACGCCAGCATGTGGCGCCAAACTGGAGTGGACTTGGCCAGCCTGAGCGCAGAGGAGTGTAAGCTTGGGGAGGACCGGGAGGGCAACATTGCCGACGCACTGGCTCTGGCGGGGTCATGGACCAATCGGCCAAACCTCCTCTGGAGCCTGATTCACTTCGTCATGCACAATCAGCCGTCACCAATGTCTGGGAACGCAGTGGCAGCCTCCACCGCCTTGGCAAGCCACCTCTCTGAGAATTTCTGGTGCAATGATTGTCGTGGCTTCTTCACGGTCGGGGTACTTTCGGTGGTTGGCCTCCCGCCTCAAAGTACGGACGGCGAGGCACACGCCAAGTACTGGAACCTCGGCCACAACATTGCATCCGAGCACGTTGCAACCACACGTGGAGGCCACCCATGGATCAACACCCTGGAGGCCGCACAGGATGAAAACGCAGGCAACCCCTTCTACGTCCCATACGAAACCTCCGTGGACATGTGGCACGTGCCTGTGTGAGGTGTGGCTGACTTGGTAGCTCCTGTAGAGTCTTTCTCGAAGGCCCGCATCTTCTGGCCTGTTAGCTGCCAGATCTGTGGAGCTTCCGAGCTGACTTAGAATTAAATGCACGGCCATGCGCGGCCTCTGCAGGCTGAAGCCTATTTTGTACAGATCCTGGGGCAAGACCTGCAGTCCCGTCCCTTGTAAAGTCGAGCATCCGACTGCAACCTATCCTGCAGTGCTGAAACATACTCCGGTGCAGCCATGTCTCGAAGTTGGTGAAATTGGTCCCCGAATAAGACCTTCTCATTAGACCCTGCCTTCGGACTCTGGGAGGTGCGAACGGGCAGCATGCCATCCTTTGGCTGATGCCCTTGGTCTGGCGCTGAAGCTCGGGGAGTCTGCCAGATTTTCCATTGGTTTGGAGAAATATTCATCAGCAGGCCCCCAAACCGTAGTACTCGGGCACCTGGTGCCAACATCATGTTTTACAGTGCAGGGGGCTTGAAGCTTGTGGCTGAGGCCTTATACTCTGTGGTATTCAGCTTGGATCAAAACCTTTGACTGCAGTGGCTGATATCTTCATCGGGGAGCATCACTTCGGGGAGCACGAAGTTGTGGGATTGCATTCCACTCTTTGTGAAGTACCAGGGAAATTTCGACTCCGTGCATGGGGCTTACCTGCGAGTGCAGGTGCTACGACATCTGGTGCTGGGCGGGCCCTTTTCAATTCAAGTATTGGATGGCCCGTAAGACGTAATCTTCCGTGCTGCGCCCAAACTTCTCCACCTGGAATCCATCCGAAGATTTCTTGCATCCGTGTGGCACAGAATCTCCTGCTCTTCCTTGTCCAAGAACAATCGTCAAACTGCTGCTCCTGCTGCTGCGGCCTGCAGCTTGCTGCCGCTCCTGCCGTCGCCGCTGCTGCTGCTGCTGCTGCTGCTACGGTGTATACGAACTCCAATGCCCTGCGCCTTGCTCCCAGTTGCTGACTTCGCTCTGCGTGGCATACATTAGCTGGCACCTGAGACAGGGTTGGAGTTCCGTTTGTCCTTTGTTTCGGCTATAGCTTCTAGCTATTGCAACTAGGCATGTCCTAATGCTAGCAGATGCGGTATGATAGCTTCATCTAGGGAGTTTGCCAGATGATACCAAATCATACCTTGCCACCCATCGAACTGGGCTTAAAAGTTCACAGCACTTGCATGGTAGCACTCAGCAGCAGACAGTCGCTTTGGAGCAGGTTCCTACCGATATTCAAAGGTGGTCTCAGCACAGATGCTGACTTCATGAGGGCGTTTGTACAACCTTAGGGAATGAGACGCAAGCCTCACTAGAACTGGCAAAAGCCTTGTCGTTACAATACATGCCTCAGAGCAAAGGCTGGTATTCATTTATTCCTGAAGAACACCTCACTGCATGCAGGACATTCTGCTGCTTTGAGCGCTTTCTTGTCTCCGACAGTTATTAATTTTTGGGAAGCAGCTGCTGCAATTAAGGCCTACTCATGCAATCAACCTCTCAGAAGCGAGCTAGCAGAAGCATGCTGAAGGTCACACCGGTTTTGTGTGCTGCTTCGAGTTGCTAGGAAAGACCTGGTCAGTTTGCGGCTGCCAGTATACAGACCTTGGGTATGTTGGTATGCTCTGCAGCAGCTTTGGGAAATAAGCTCGCGTTGTTGTGAATGTACGGAAGGTAAGTGCAACCTTTGCATATTGCCGAGGGCATTTGCAACCTGTCTTTAAATAAGCCTTGAAGCGCCGCGTCATAGCAGAGGGTGCGCCATGCTCGCCGGTGCTGGTCAAAGCAGGGAAAGGTTTCGAAGTTTCCCAAAGCACTTCCCTGGTGGTTATGCGGCCTGGAAGATCAGGCCCCGTAATGGCCTTAACGCTCATGAAGCCCAAAGAAGGGAAGTCTCCCCAGCTGAGGATACAACTACAGACAGGGAAACACTGACGAGGTTCGCTGTGGGTAGAGGGAGATCTTGCTGCCAGATGGGACATTCAGATTTCGGAAGTGTCCATTTGAGCCATATTCTAAACTCTTGTACGAAAGGGGATTTTTGGTCATTATGCGTAATCCTAGTAACAAGCAAAAATTCGAATTGTTAGTAGGGCTCTGAGGCCGGTTTAGCTTATATGCAGGAGTAGATAAGGGGACTACTACAGGGACCATGACGGGGGATACTAGGAGTTTACACTATGGCTCACATGGAGTACTGTGTGATCATTGGATGCCCGTCCATTGAAAGCAGTTTTGAGCAGAGCAGACTAGCCCAGCTTTCTGCTTGTACTGCAGATGTGGGCTGTTCTCAAAATTATGGGCCCTTGTGGTTGCAGATTATGTTGCGGCACCTAATTGGTATTCAGGGGAACAAAAATGGGACCCAATTTTGTGAACTACCCATGTGGCTGTAAGTCAAAAACACTAGGCTTGGGCGGCCATTCTGTGAGAGGCATGTAACAGATTTGGCCGATTTGCCCAGTTTCCAAAAGCACCTTTGAGAGAAAGTTTTTTCTTGCGGCATACGTGTACCCAGCATTCGGGACAAAGGCATGTAATTCCAGGCCGTAACAAAGGCTTACAACAGAGCGTGGTGGGCCTGCGATAAAGCGGGTTCTGATCCACAACCGTAATCAATATTGCGCTTGGACACTGGCACAGCCTGGCACTTGTATGACTGCATTTGTACATCATTCAGCAAATTTGCAGACCAGAATGTGACCCAGAATGTGGCATTCCACCTGCAGGCCTGATAGATCCCATCAAGTCGTTCAGAAGGCCTTGAACAACTTCTGCCATCCCGTATAAAGCTCCTTGATGCCTGTTGAGCGCCAGCAACTTTTTTCAGTTCTCATAACGACATCATAAGACTGATGTGAAGCCCATGAGTTCTGTGAAGCCGGAGCAGGTGGTCCTAGGATCCCTGTCGCTGACGGGGGTCATCATTGCCACCATCGTGGGGCTGTCCTACCGACGATCTTGAGAGTTGCAAGTACTGAGTACTTAGGGTTGAGGTCCAGGGGTTGGGCGGTTGGGCTTCGTGTGTTTGGGATTCGTTATGAAAAGTAGGTGCTGTAGCTACGACGGCAAGAGTGCTTCACAAATACGTGTTGGGCTTGTTCCGGTGTTTGCGCAACAGACACAGCGCGTGCGCATAAAGTGCCATGGCTTAGGTCGCACTCCGCTCACCCTCGCTTTGCAAGACTGCCGACAGCCAGGTTCTGCAACATAAACATGCTGCAGGAGCTTCACCGCGTGAATCAAGGCTGCACAAACTCCATAACTCCCATAACAATGTAAGAGGGTGGTTTATGGGCCTTAGGGGTTGTTGGAGTTGTGCCTGGCTTGCGCAAGCTGCGAGGCTGTTCAGGGCTTTTTGTTGCGAAGGTGCTCAGATCCTTTGAGCTGGTGTACTCATGCGGCTGGAGGGGCATTCCTGCGGGCAGCTTTTAAGCTTTTACATGTGGCTAGGAACAAGAGAACAATACATGCCACAAAACTCCTTTTTGAGGGATGTGTAAGGCTACTCTGATTGCACCAAGACCCGCTCAGGGACAGTCAAAATGCTCTGTTTAAGCCCCAAGGCCCAACACTGCGTGTTGAACTTCAGTGGGGGCTGGGGCGACGGCCTCCAAAACGACTTCCTTCACACCTCCACAGCCATATGGGATCCACGGCTACTGGACCTTCATCATATGAGATGTGAACACAAGAAATTTGACAGGAAGTGCCTCAGCTGTGACAAACTTCTAGGGTCTTCTTATCCCCTTACACAGCCTCCAGAATATCTCCAAAAACCTTCATAGTCCATAACTTGAAGCCATAGCATTTCAAAGCCTAAGCGATTTCATAGGCGCTAGCTACTTCAATGTCCTGGCGACGGAGGCCTGGAGAGTGCGCTTGCAGTACCTGCCCCAAACCAACATGGAACCTCATAGTAGGTCCGTTTAAAAGGACGCTAGTCGTCGAAGGGCCCTTTGCGGGTTTCATGCTGGCTTTGCGGAGCGCAGCGGTGACTCGTTTTTGGTAGGTAATTTGACGAGAGGCCCACAACAAGCGTAAATTTCAGTGGACATAGCCTAGCTACAGTAAAGGCCATTTAGGGTCATTCTCCCAAGAAGGAAGGGCCTTGGTTTGAACAAGTGCGCTCATCTTGTTTTGCATTGCCTAGCCCTGGACTCCAAACCCTCCCTCTGTGTCTCTAAAAAGTCCTTACACAGACCTCTCAGATTTGGTCTAATCCTTGTACGATCTACTTTGAGGTAATTATGACTCAAATTATGACAGGATGGAGATTAGATTCCTAACAGTGGTTCGCATATCATATTCGCCAGAATGATTCCGGCGACAACCCCATGTCCTTCAAGCGAAGATGAAATTGAACGGTAGCTGTCAGTGTTGTTGCAGCTCCTTGAAGCGCGTTTCAACAGCTGACGCAGTCCGCCACTAGCAAGCTGGATGCTACCAGCATGGTCTTCACCAACGCTACCCGCCCTTCGGCCTGCAATCTTTAGCTGAGTGTTCAGAACGTAGGGGAAAGTAAGAACAAAGTACACCCATGTATGCAAGCCGGTCAGGCAGTTATGGGGCACAGCAGTCCAGGGTTTGGCTTCCTAGCGCCGGGTGATCTCTTGAGTTTAGCAATGGCCTTAGTGTTTGGCCAAGACTTCTGTAAGCATTGGGGCCTGAAGGATGACGTAGATTATGTCGTGAATTGTCGGGCTTCCCTGCAGTGGATGGAGGAAAACTTGCACGCTTAAGATCTGCAACAGACTGTAATTCGCAGGGCATAAGGAAACTAGGGTGGTGCAGGATTTCCTCCATCTACACAGTAGGAAGAAGCAGGACAGATTCTTAGTTTCGGTGTTGTAGGATGCACCGCTTTCCCAACAGAAAATCAGCTTGTTCCCATGCTTCCCTCCAGCATGCCAGAATCCTGAATTAATCAGAGGTGCATGGATTCTGTTTCGGCCTTTTTTTTTGCGGGTATGCTCACTTAAAAGTTTAGGGTTCTACTTGTAGGCTTAAGGGTTCAGGGTGGCTTGCTGATGCCCGTAGAGCAGATCCCCCGTTCGAGCTGGCTACAAGTAGTGGAAAGCACCACTCCTGCCCCAAGTTGCTAACAAATGCTTGCTGAACCTTGTTTGCTTCCAACGTTGCAGCCAAGCTAGCTACCAGCTTGTACACAGCCACCACCGCCCAGGGGTGAATACAGCGCAGTACTTCGGCCCGGGACTTATCAAATCTGGATTATTGTTTAGGATGGTGCTTTTGGAGTGCTGTCATATTCGGGTCTCCCTTTCTCCTTGGATGAAAGTGTGAGTGTCTAGGATTCATGTTGAATAGTGATTCGGGTTTTCGCGGGGGGTAGCATGCCATAGCATGGTGTGTCATCATAGCAATGAGGCAGTTGGACTACGTTTGTCAGGGCTTACTGCTTCAACTGGCACTTTCGGAGCAGCGCGGAGGGACAGTAATTTCGCATCAGCCATGTCTAGCCTACAGTGGATCGCCTAATTTTTGGGGTGCTACCAGCTAGCAGGTTTTGTGCAGTCTGCGGTTGGCCCCCTTTGCAGGGTAATGAGACTGGGGATGACTTGTGGTTGGGGAGCATGGATGGGATCAGATGTTTCAGGCACAGCCACACAGTGTGCCTTTCTGTATTGCGCGAATTGGGTCTTGGCCATGGGAAAAATATGAGCCATAGTCTAAACTCCTTAAAGGGGGTTATATAGGGGATTATATAGGGGACTACTATAGGGGTTATTAAGGGGGATACTAGGAGTTTAGACCATAGCTCATATAGATTGACCGTCACATCATACATGGTGTCGCTGTCGATCAGTCAGTTGAACCTCCAAGGCTTTACCGATGCCAACTCTCCTGCTGCGACGGTCTACTGCGTCACTGGGCTTGTATCAGACGCGATTCAGGGACAAGCACCCAGGGATGTAGATTTTGGTGTGTAGGTTGTGGCGTAGCCGGTGGAATCTAAATCGCCGGGGTAGGGTGGGGGGGCGGGTAGCGCGTATGGCATTCCTCTGCGATGCGAGCCGTGGCATAGGTCCTGCTTGACATGAAAGCCGCAGTCACCAGTAGTGGTTTGATTCCATCTCATCCAAGCACAATAGCGTGTCTGCTGCTTTTAAAAGTCCAAAGGGAATCCTCGGGATGGAATCCCCTCATGCATGACCTCCGTCGGAGTTGCCTAAGGATTCCAGTCTCAGTCTGCCAGGTGGCTCCTGTCGTGAACGGGGAAAGCGACTTCAAACGTGCTTGGCCTGGTGCCGGTAAGGGTTCAAAGCTTTAAGCTGAATGTTCTCATCATAATCTCTACGAAAACAGACGTGGAAGCCCCCTAAAAGGCTCCACAAAGAATATTGAAGCAGAGGGGATTATTGTTCTCGCCGGGTCCTGGGATATATAGGCGTGAGAAGGGACGTGCTTCTGGCACGTGTTGAGACTTGGGGCTTGCATTCATTGGTAGGTAGATGGACGATACGACAGAGAAACCCATGGTTTTTCCTACTTCAGGAGGCCTACCATGAGGGCCCTTCAGGCCAGCAGAAGTTCCTGCGAAGAATCGAAGTACAGGGAGGGGTTTTGGGTTTAGAGAATTCATGCCCGAAAACTTGCAAAGGCGTCACACTATTAAGGGGCTCAACGCGAAAATCGGTAGCCTCGCCCCAAGCTAACATGGAACCGGTCATTGTCTTTCATCGACAGTAAGGACTAAGACTCCGGCTTTCTGGACGCACTATCTGAGGTCCCGTCAGCGGACCGTTGGCATACAAACTCCAAAGCCCTTATCTTGTACAGGCCCAAATGTTTATAGGCCTCCCTAAATGCAAGACACGCTTCACGCCTTGGACTCCTACTGTAGGGGGGGAACCTTCACTCCTCAACCCCATTTCCTCATTCCTTCACCAGACCTAACCTTTACTCCCACAAAGCAGCGAAGCAACATCTTGAAAGCCACAGCAGAAGGAAACACCAAAGCGCGAATACGACTTAAGCTTACTCGAAGCCCAGAAGCCCTTGAGCCAGGCCTTGAAGCCCCACATCACACTTTGCATGGCTGAGGCATTCAGTTCTGGGCAGCCGGAGTCGACTGCTGCGGCCCACAGAAGCCTTTCCAGCGAAGGGCTTGGGCATTTTCAGCTGGTCCTGGGCACGATGTGGAAAGCGGACTGCAAGCAAACTTCTGCAACAGCTAATTGCTGCTAGTTCTAGCGCCATTACATTTTAAAGTGAGTATCCGTGACAATTACCTTTTTTGTACCTCTTCAGCGCTACTGCGTAAAGACGCGCCAAGAGGTGCGGGGACGCGCAGAATCCGAGCGCGCACGGCGGACTGCTGCTGCCGGATCGCGTGCAGGCTAGTTGGGCTGCCCGCACTAAGCTTCAGGGATTTGGTAAGGGTAGCTATACGGCTATGACATTAATGCGAGGTCCATTTAAAGGGTTTCTATTGCAGATTCGAGAAAACTTGCTCCCGCTTGCTTGAAGCAGTCCTGATGTAAAGCGTTAGAACTTTAACTTTGCCTAAACCCTAAACATATACCTTGTCTCACACCCTGGAACCCTAAATTTCGGATCATGGTGGGGGGGTTTAGGGTTTATAAGGTCCAGGAGAGAGTGGTCTGGGCTTTGTGCTTCTAATCCTCTGGCAGTAGATTGAATTCAAAATTGTCGCGGGCATGTATGTGTTTCTTCTGTCTGACTTATGGGTATCACTCGGAGGACAAGGCGCGCAGTTTCCTCAACAGGGGCGCTTCAAACCCCGATGGGCTTGCAAATATTCAGCTAGTTCTCAGGGCAGCGAACGCTCATTTGTCGCGAAGAGTCCTACCGAAGGACTTATACAGAGGGTTCCCTGATCTGATAACGTGATTGTGCTATTGAAGCGGAGGTGAGTAAAGCCTGAAGCCTGCCGTGAGAACAAGAAGTCTGCCGTAAGAGACCCTCTTCACCAGCATAAGCCTTCTGGGGCCAAAACTGAACGGTTCCAAATAATCAATCCAGGCATCTCAGTTGTTCAATTACTGAATGAAAGTCAAGGGTGCCACAAAACTGCGATCTGGAACATTTACGCTAGGACTGATCCGGCGCTGCATCTTCCAAATGCAGGCCTTGCCTTGTCCTGGTGGAAGAAACGACACCTCGGAAGTCCTGCAAAGGATGGGCCAACGAGACCTAGTACCCGAACGACCAGTCCATTAGCCCTGAAAAGGAATCTATCTTGCAGAAAGAAAAAAGAAACTATAAGCCCAAAACTTCTGCCAGGGCGGCCCAAATCGAAAATTCTTCGAGAAGGCCATCAAGGGCGCCGTGGACAAGTACGATCTTCAGGCTCAACAGGGACTTTGCAGGGTTGGGGTCCAGGAGGTTGACTTTTTGGGATTTGTAGGTTCAGGGTTTGAGGTTGAGATCTGTTAGGGCTTGTTACGGGCTCTCTAGGTTGTGCGAATTTTGGGGCGTGCTGCCTGGCAATTTAGGCTTTCAGGGCTTCTTGCGTGCAGAACAGGGTTTTGTTCAGGCTTCAGGTTTCATCTAGTGGTGTGCACAAATGATGTAAGCGAGTTTTGGGCGTACAAGCCTTCAATAGGCAACATTGATTTCTTTGAAATGTTTGTGGGGATTCTGCCGATCGTTCATGGAAATGCTGCAGGCCTTGCTTGTGACTTGGCGGTGTCCTCACTTGCTTTTCGGGTTTGAGGCTGCTTGTGAGGTCTGAACTTGTCAGGTAGAGATGTAGATCTCAGGGCTTAGGCACCGCGGATTTGGACCTTGGATCAAGATCTTAAAGCTGGCAGCGTTCGGAGTGGAAAAGTAAAGTCCCCTACCCTGCAAGCTGTGTAGGCTCCCTTTTCGAGCTTCATTCCCGAAGCCTACACCCGCAGAACCCGCCTGCCGAGCCTGAAAAAGTCTCCGAAGCATAAAGCTGTAAGGCTGCAAATCCACAACAGTCTAAATCTGCAAATCTAGACCTATCTGCGAAAGACCATCAACTTACAAACTTCCTGTGGGGTGGGCAGAGGGTACCTGAGAATTGGAGGCCGGCAACGACTACCTGCTGCTCAATTGGCTCCAGGATCCAGTTCAGTACAGGCCATCTTAGTGGGGATGCAATAATATTTTAGGGTTTAGGGCTTAGGGTTTAGGGTATTATAGTCCCCAATTCAAGACAGAGTATGATTGTGCTCCTACTACTATTTGATCAGAAGAATGGAATCTTACTTGGTTCAAGGACCGAAGAAAGATCCCTGGAAACCTTTAGAGGATTAAGGATTTCAGATGCCTTAAGGCAGCGTCAACTGCAGAAACAACGTACGTGGAGGTTAGGGTTGTGCACACGGTTTGAGGGCTGTGGGCAGCTGTAGCAAGTTGCTTATTGTCCTAAAGCTCAATCGCCCCTCTGAACGGGCCATGTCGGAGTTTATTTACATAGTCCTTAGAGAGGGACCCCATAGGCCCTGGAACACCTTTACGACGCGCGGAGTACACCAAAACAGACCCCTTCAAGCCCCCTCTGAAGTCGCATACTGTACCTCCCTATCAAGCTATACACACCTGTAGGCGCAACATGAGGTTCTGCCGGTTCCGGGTACTCAGGTGGAACTTTTTTGGCATTCAACCCTGACGCCCTGAGACCACGGTTCGTATGCTCGCCATGGTTCATAACAGCCCAAAACCTGAAGCACCACAAAGCCTCAAAACATAGTTCCCGATTACTTAAGCCCAGTTCATCTACACCAGATATATATATATATAAAGACAACATTGCATATGATTTGAGTAGATCTTCCCACCAGCCCTCCAACTCGACTCTTTATAGACCTTGCAAACCCTCGCCGCATGCGCCCCAGAGTGGAACATGGCATCAGCCGCGGCAGAAACCTAAAGGGTCCAAGTCCATCCAGTTAAATATATTTTGTGCCTCACAGAGTCACAAAGTTCCCATATAGGTGTTTTGCTGCCAAGTTGCATATATACATATATATATATGTATATACACGCTATAAACATACGTTATTTGAGTCGGGAAAAAGCAGCACTACTGCATGGCTGCTCGCCAGGGACAACCTTTGGAGGGGCAGTTGGAAGCTCTTCGCAGTGTTTGGCGGGGTGTTGGAGCCTTACAGGTGCACAGAAGAGAGATCGGGAGAAGAATTCTTCATAACATATATTAGTATAAATTATCATAGACTAATATATAGTATAATATACTATAACATACTATATTATACTATATTATGAACCCTATGTAGGGTTTAGGGTTTAGGGTTTAGGGTTTCTTCATAACATAGGGGTGGGCCACCGAAAACAGTAAGAGTGTCCCAATCAGGAATACCTAATGTTTCCCTGGCAGTAAATTCATAGCACGCACGTACCCGCATGGACACTAAAGTATTTGGGAACGTCTTCTTTGGGCATCAGTTCGACGGCATCAGGGGAAGATTTCTCCTGCGGAGACTCGTCGTTTACAAATTTGAAGCTCAACGTTCATGGTGAATTCATCAGGGCTTGAGCGATTTGGATTGTTTTTTTGAAAGTGTGGTGCTTGCAGTTCTGGGTTTGATGTTAGCTGTTGGGCAGCGATCGCCCAAACCCCGGACATACCAGATCAAGCATTGAGTGAGGCTGAGGCCCCGTGCAAACCTCACTGCCATGCAAAACCATTCTTTCTGATTAGCCAGCTTCTGGTTGCGCATGACAGGGGTGCGATACCAATGAACACCTTGGATTAAAGCTTTAAATTTAAATCAATGTCCTGAGGGGGGGCTCGCTCAAACTTTGTGGGACACTTCATTGCGGTCCCGTGTTCCTCTAGCCAGGAAGTCCTGCTGCTCTGGGAGAAAAGTAGAGCTTCGCATACTATGCCTCCACCTGGCGATCAAAGAGACGTTGTCCATCGATTGCCTGGAAACAAGCGTGGCTCCTGAGTCACGAAGTATCCGAAGTGGTATCAGCTTATACCTCGGTAGTGCCACGAGCCCCAAAGATTTTTATGGGTGCGTCCTCCATGGATATACTTATGTGAGCTAGAAACATCTGACAAGGGACTGCAAAACAAGTAATGCATGATTTTGAGGACCTTTCGAACCCTATAAGCTTTATCCCAGAACTAATCCTGAGGTATCTGATTATCAGCGCCATGGTCGGCTTCGTGATTCTGCCGATCCTTCGAGGAAAGTGAAGTTCAGGGTTCATGGCAGCTTTAGAATTTCGGAAGTGTCGACTGCAGTGGAGGGGTTGGCCTTTGTTCGTACCAAGCAGGACGTGTGTTCAGAGCTGCAGGAACGCGCAAGAGGTTTTGTTTTTTTTTAGGCCGGCGCCTCATGTAGCTGCGCATTGCCGGGTCTTGGGCTCATCATGTGGAACTGCACATTACTCCTAGATACTGTACCGCGAATGAGGGCTTCTGATTTGCCAGATCAGGGCTCGGATTCTGAGTTTGTTTCCTCTGTGTGCCTAAGTCGTGGCTTCTGTAAAGAGCTGAGCATTCTCCCCGAAGCTAATCTCCCGAATGACCGCCCACTTGTTGAGCTCGCAGCCGTTTGGTTGGAGCGCTCCTGCCTCTTGCTGTGGTGATGAGAATATGCCTGCGTATGGGACAACAGATCAGAAACACATCAAAGCCGCGATTTTTTCTTTATAGTCCTATTGTGCACTTGCCAGGATGACATGCGCTTCCAGCATGGCTGGAGACGCTCTGAAGCCTGGGGTGCTAGGTTTCTGGAGTTCTTAGTGAGGTTCAATGCTCTGCCTTGGACATGCAAAGTTCGATCGGCTTGGTAGCCTTGATTGGTATCCTTCAGGGGGGATATCGAGTTATTTCAGGATTGTACCGTGGGGTATAGAGGCTTCTAACCTGCAAAGAACTAAGTAACTTAAAAATGAAGCTGCTGTTCAGCTCCCAAGACGGGACGTGAGGATGGCAAAGGCCTGCAATCGGCGACCCTTCCAAGTGACATGAGAGCTTCATGGCTTGCAGCTTTCCACCTGCCCCGAAAGTACGCTCGCCCAACCTAAGAAAACTGGTCCCTTGTAGCCTATTATCCTGTAAATGAAGGGCTACATGGGTTTCTCGGAAGAGACCCAAAAGTTTTGGTTGCACTACCGCTGTTTGAGATGAAGGCTTCCTTCCTAGTAAAGTTAAGTGGCACCCTATCCAACACTAGCATTATCAAAGTGGAACGCAAGCTGTGCTGCATCGAAGGGGCCAGCAGGCGAAAGACAGTTGCGAGCAGAGGCAAACGAATGAAAAGGTTTGAGCATAGGGCCATAGGGCCCTGCGGATAGTGGCGGCCATACTGCAAGACAACCGCAATGGCAACAAGCCTGTCGTGACAGCAGTGGCTGCAGCATTTCATATGCACCGTCAGCAAATCGTAGCCCTCATGATGCATGATTATCGGTGCATCCACCTCCCCGCCAAAGAATCAACGACACGCTAATGATAGGTGTCCCCGCGAAATTTCAAGGTGCTGCCCAAACTCAGAGGACATACGAAACAAAGTCCAAAATCCAGGTGCCCAAGCCCGGGTACAACGTATTCATCCTACAGAGGGACCACCATCGTCCTTGGGTTATCTCTATATACCCCCATAGGTTCGCACAAGTACCTCGATTTTGAAAAGGTCCCTGGTTGATGAGGTTTGGGGTTGACAGCCATGGCGGTGAATAAGTTCAGGATCTCACAAGGTTCAAGCTGGACCCCAGCCTTTTCCGAAATCTGCTTTTTCTACTTGTCTGTGACCACTACAGGCAACTGGAACCCTCAGCTCTGAGCCTCACCCAGGTGGTTCTTTTTCAAAAGGTGTCAGCAATGGCAAGCATGTCCACAGCCAACCTCATAATGGATGAGGTTTTCTCCAGACATCTCCTGTATCAGATGTCTGTCGTGCCACAAAACAGTACAACATGTTCTAAACTGCCGATGATTGCTACCATTATTTCCCAAGAAACATGTTCTGATACTTGCGGACCTTCAGCAATGCACGGCGTGTCCCAACTGATGCATGCAGGTTCAAATGTCTTACTGCCAACCGAACACTTTATCATAGGAGTTGGAGGCTGCCCCAACAGCAGCACATAGAAATTCAGATGAGCTCCACCTGTGCAACATCTAGCAATTACACCTTCAAGCAGGGTATGCTTGGGCATCAAGACTCAGACAGTCTAAAGCCTGCATAGCCTCACCTCATACTCATCTAGTTCAGCACAGTCCGTAATGGGGAAACTTCAGATTGCGCACAGTTCCCGCAGCCTCCAACTCCCCCGGCCCCAAGCGCCTCGCCGCCAGCAGAGCTCCCCAGGAGGCTGCTCTTGTTGGCCCTTTGAGGGGTAGGGAGTGCGGTTCATCTTGCAGAGCTTCGGATTGCGGCTAGGGGTGAAGGTTTTCGAGTGTGGGGGTGCAGCAGGAGGACTCGCAGAGCTTGCTGGGGAAGCATGGTTTGGTCGTACGAGCATCCATGTGGACGTGGCGTTGGGAATGCTGGGAAGTATCTCCGTACGGAACTATAGAATCGTTCTTGGTGGATGCACGGAAAATACTGGGACCGGCACAAGGCAATTCCTCATTCTTTGCTGACCGCCAGAGACCTTTGTTTCGCATTTCATGCTTGGTATCCGGGATTTTACGTGGTTCTCGTAAGTTGGGGGCTGCAGCTTTGAGGCCTATATCAGGTTTGTGTTTGAGATTTGGAAAGGCTCAAGATTGGGAGAAGGAGGGTTGCTTTGCTTGATGTTCATTATGAGCAACGCTTACAGAAAAAAAACTGAGCAAGGTTAGGACTCACAGTGCTTCAGAGCCTGCATAGCTCTGACCTTTGAGGCCCACTCTGACACAAATTGACATAGCAGGTGTTCTCATGAGGTTTGGCTGTGTTTCACGGGACCGCTGATGCTTTTGTACGGGGTCCCCGCAGGGCTCGAACATTGTGCTGGATGTTTGCTCTCAAGCGGGGTCGAACGTATGCATCAAGTAAGTGGCAGGATTACAATTCCCGAGTCTCACGTTCAACCTGCATGCGCCATTAGTTGAGGAAAAGCCTCATTGGGAAGGTTTTTCGGAGCTTCGAGTCTGGCAGTTAGAGCCTATAGGAGTCGCTAGACTCGCCACTTCTGAAGTTCACCCTCAAGACGACGCATGCCGTGCGCTCCATACAGTATATGCACCTCATCCGAACTCCAAGTGTCTGGACATGCAGAAGATCGATGCAAACACCCTTCGAACCCTTTCGGTGGGGAAACATGCAGAGGCCCACACCCGGGCAAAGACTTCCCAAGCATGGGGGCCCTTCGGCTTCAGCTTGAAACATCCCCGTTGCTAGCCAGGCCGTGGCACCTCGCGGGAGCATCTTAGACAACATGACGAGGCAGGCCACAGTTAAGAGCATCAGCGACAATGACCGGCATGATGCAGCAGGAAGACTACTAAGAAGATTGAGGAGACTGCAACCGATTTTGGAGTTTACGGGAAGGTGCTTTCAGGCTGTTCTGCGAAAGATATGTCAGAGGGCTTTTATCAAAGACATTTGGCCACATTTTGGGCCCACATGGTGGGACTTCCTTCTTGCGGGCTGTATCTAGGGAAAAAAGGAAGTGCTGTTTGTAGACCTGGAATGTGCCCCACTGGCTCCTAGCTCCACAGCTAATGGAATCCAAACGCTTCAACTTCCAAAAAAAGTCTGCATCCTGTATGCCCTACCAACTTGAAGGAGGGTGTATTTCAGGTGAACCCAAACTGCTAGAACCCAAAACCCTTCAGTTCGAGGTTGTGGCAGGAGTTTTGGTTTGAGCCACGGTGTGCTGCCAATGAGGGAGGATTCGGCACGAAACCCAAAGCAAACCTTCGCGGCCTTGCTGTCTTAGGTTGACATCGGAAGTATATGAAAGTTGTTAAGCACAAGGTCAAGTACGCAGTTCTCAAAGCCGTCATGCCAAATAACATAGATTCAAGCTTACTGCCCCCAAAGCAACCTAACGGGCATGCCCTGACCGGCCCATGGCGTGTATTGGGGAAGGTGCAGGGGGAATAGATAGTTGCAGAAGGGACCCCAAGCTTAAGGCCCCCCTCCACCCAGTGGGGGCTGCTGGGCTCCAAACCCCTGACTCCCCAGCAACAAAGGCCCCATGAAGTCGCAGGCTATTCCTCGCGTTATGCCTTGCCTGTGTAGAGGCGACTGATGATGTTTGGTTGGATCCCGGACTTTTGGGGTTTAAGTTTCAGAGGTGTCAGAGGCTTAAAACTGAGGCCTAAAGCCTAAACCGTATGAAGTTGGTGATTGGGGTTTCTGCCTTTTTCTCACGGATGTATTGAGAAGGGGACGGTATGAGTAGTTCCCAAGCTGCTTGGTCATGCGCGGGTCACCGTTTTGGTATGGGTCTTTGAAACATGTTATTGGGATAATGGAAAAGAAAATGGCAACTACTATAGTATATTGGGGTAATATTGGGATAATGGAAAAGAAAATGGAAGCTACTATAGTATGTTGGGGTAATATGGGGATAATGGAAAAGGAGATGGAAGCTACTATAGTATATTGGGGTAATTTTGGGACAGTGGAAAAGAAAATGGAACCTACTATAGTATATTGGGGTAATACGGGGAGTTTGGGCAGTTGCAGAACTGTTGTACGCAGTCGTATTGGACCTCATAGTGAGCCAACGCAAGCTGTCTGTCTCAAAGTTGATTGTCCTTTATTCCTATCAGGAATTAGGAACCTTAGGGCTGTATGGAGATTACGAGGGGTTCATGAGTCTCCTAAGTACTGACGCTCTCGGTGGCAGATTGCTTGATGCAGAGCCCAAGCTGGATTCCTGATGATTGTCTTAGACTCCCACAAAATAGTGTTTATCATATCACCTTCTACCCTAACCGGTACAGGTTTTGGTGCTGGGTTCCTGAGTGAGTATGACCTACATCGCGCAAAGTGCCAAATCCCATATTGGCCCTAAACTCCTTGACATTAAATCTGCTTTTCACAAATCGAGGGCTTGAGGGCTTGTCCGCCGTCTTCAGGTTTGGGCCACAGTCGGTGTCCCGGAGCGTTGGCGCCTCGTGGTGTTAGGCTCTGTAGGTACGATTTCAGTTTAAGGGTCGGCAGGATTTGAGGATAGGCGTTTTCCGTTCTGCTTGGGGGCACTTTTGCAAAAGCTGCAGGGCATCAGGAATCAACAGCTTCCCGACGGAATGACGCGGATTCTGTATGTTACCTATAAATTAAAAGTCGGACCGGATTTCAGGACCATGTTTTGGAGAGTTGTGTGGTAAGATCTATTCGGGGGTTGATTGAAAATGGAACGGGCAGTGCTATATGCCGTGACAAGTGTTTTTCAAATGTGTCAAAGGCCCCTTCTGAGTCCTTGCTTTCTTCGGTGCGCTGAATTCTGAACAAAGTAAGGGCAGAAAGCGCAATGGCTGATGCACCCGCGCCTAATGTAGACCCATGATGAATAAAGATCCTCCTTTTAAAGGCCTTAATATTAGGATCCCTATTCGAATTCTTATTAAGGGGAGGGGGTTTATTAATATGGGTCTGGGTTATGATGCAAGGAGGCCTCAGTTGCGCTGGAGACGACTGCGAGGCCGGTGGTATGTTCGGATTGTCACGTCAGCTATGGGGCGATAGCCTAACCTCCTGAAAGTGGGATTATGTAGTGGACTACTACAATGGTTATTAAAGGGGATACCAGGAGTTTAGACTATAGCTCATGCATGTTCATCTGCAGATGGATCGGAAATGTTTGAAGCTTGTAAGAGTGGATTCCTCAAAGTTACACGCGTGCATACAAGCAAAACAAAGCTTCTGGTCCCTCCTTGACACCCAGACATGACAGGGTTCGACTGCATTTGTGGTCCTAGTGCCATGTGCCACCTAGTTGACTGCACCCCACCTGCATCCACAACTTGGGGCTTGCGGACCTAAAGCAGCCCCTGCTCCACATCTGAAACCCTGCACTTATTACCTAGAAGCAGGTTCCCTGTGCTTTGACGCAGGGCAGTGACCGGCATCTATGCGTCACAGATGTCCAAAGTTCTAGCTACAGTGATGTCTCATGTTGGGCACATTGCTGAGGCTCCACAAGGAGCCCTGTGGCTTGGCATTCTTCAAACCAATAGGCAGCAGGCGCTTTGTCATCAATAGCCATGCAAACACTTGTACGCCGTACACGATGCTTTCTCAAGTTCGCATCAAAAGTATGACGCGATCTCCGCGTGGACAGCCGCGCTGCTCTTCCCTTCGAGGTCGCGGGGCTCTCTCCCTCCCTGATTCCTCCGATCCTGTCGCCTTTCCTCGGGCTCGCCTCTTTGCAGACAAGGGCCATCAGATCATCATCACTTTCGACCTCCCTCAGCCTTCTCGTGGCCTTATCGCGCCTTGGACCTTAGGTTGCCCCGTGCGTGCGCATGCTCTCCAGCCTCCCTGAGTAGGGACTGAGGTAATGGATCTCTACCAAAGTGGTCTCTATATGATCATTTTTGTCCACTTTGAATGCAGATCA